GAAAGAAAGAAAGAAAGAAAGAAAGAAAGAAAGAAAGAAAGAAAGAAAGAAAGAAAGAAAGAAAGAAAGAAAGAGAGAGAAAAGAAAGAAAGAAAGAAAGAAAGAAAGAAAGAAAGAAAGAAAGAAAGAAAGAAAGAAAGAAAGAAAGAAAGAAAGAAAAGAAAATATATAAAAGGCAAACAGGTATATTTAAAAATCCTCAACATTGCTAAGCATCCAGGAAATGCAAATAAAAATCACACTGAGATGTCATCTTACCCCAGTTAGAATGGCTGTTATTTAAAAATAAATAAATAACAGATGCTAGAGAGGATACAGAGAAAATGGAACTCTTATACACTGGGAGTGGGAATGTAAGTTAGTATAACCACTATGGAATACAGTATGAAAAGTTCTCAAAAAACTAAAAGTAGAACTGCCATATAACCCAATAATCCCACTACTGGGTGTCTATACAAAAGAAAATAAGTGTATCAAAAGGACACCTGCACTTGCATGTTTATTGCAGCACTATTCACAATGGTAAAGATATTGAGTCAAGCTAAGTGTTCATGAACAGACAAATGGATAAAGAAAATGTGGCATATATAAGCAATGGAATACTATTAGGTCATAAAAAAGAATAGTTATATCATTTGCAGCAACATGGATGGAACTGGAGGTCACTGTGTTAAATTAAATAAGCCAGGTGCAGAAAGACAAATTCCACATGTTCCCACACAGATAGAGAATAAAGTGATAGATACCTACGGGTGTGAAGGGAGTGAGTGTAAGAAGGGCCAATGAAGAGAGGTTGGTGAATGGGTACAAACTTAGATAGAAGAAATGAATTATAATATTCGATAATAGACTAGGGCAACTATAGTTGTCAACAACATATTGTATATTTCAAGGTAGCTAGAAGACTTGAAATGTTACCAACACATAGAAATGATAATACTCAAGTTGATGGATATTCCCAAATACCTTGATGTAATCATTACACGTTCTATGCATGTAGAAAGTGCTCATATGTATCGCATAAATATGTAAAATATTATTTATCTACAAAAAGCAGGGTAACAGTTTGTGTGTGGGAGGGGTGAGGAAGGTACATGGGAATTCCTTGAACCTTCTGTTCAATTTCATGATAAACTTAAAACCACTCTGAAAGAATACAATATATTAAAAACAAAAATGTGATAAATGATTAAAACATTGAACTATTAGGTCCTAGTTCATGTAGCATGTGAAGATTTTAAAAAGAGTGATCTTCATACAGCTTTACAAGCCTTCATAAAACAAATTCTGAGGGTTGACAGGCATTAGTAATTTATACTATAAAAGTGAAATTACTACACATGAATTTTCTCTCATTAGCATTCAGCA